GCGTCTCAATAGACGAAAATGAAATTTGGCATAAAAACCACCACGAGTGCTGTTGAACAACGAAAACACCAAAGCCGTGTTCAGTGAGAAGTTGGCTAGGCAGTTATCGGGACAAAACACTATTACTCACCCAGAAGAAGCTTGGTGCCATCTCCAGTCTGCTGTAAAAGCAGCGCTGAAGACCGTAGCCAACCTCAAAATAATGACTAAAAAGAGCCAGTGGATATTATGTCAGCAGCTTCTTCCAAACTAATGGATGCACGTGAACGCACCCCTGCAGGCTCTGAGTACAATGAAGAGCGAGCACAACTTGAAAGTAGATTGAGAAAAAGTCTATGCAACGATCGGGAACAGTTGAGGGCGGTGAAGGCTAAAGAGATGGAAATGGCAGCGGCGGTTGGTAACAGTAGACAGTTATTTAGACTTATTAAGGAGACTGGGAGGGAAAGGTCAATAACAGTTAGTGAGGCTATAGCGGGGAAGGACGGATCTGCGATTCACTCGCAGGGGAGACGACTTGAACGATGGGCAGAACACTTCGAGGAACAGTTTAACTGGCCTCCGGGCACCATTTCGTTGCCCGCTACGCATACGTAGTCACCGATTGTCTCGTCACACAATGTTGGCTGAAGTAGGTCAGGGCTGCAAAAAAGCCTAAGATGGCCAGACTAAAACATGGTATCAATGTATGAAATCTTTGACTGTTGGTTTGAGCCATGTATGACGATGCAGACTGGGTGGTTGGGGTCCACGGGACAAGAAGAACCAGTGGTTGGAGACTGTAGGTGATCACATGGCTGAGAACAGATGTCAGTGGTGCAGAAGTATACACACATTATCCTTATCTTAACGCCATGCCAAATCTCACTATTTCTTCATTCTTCCATTCTCTCTTTTAGTACTTTATATTTCTCTTGACTGACTTTTTTCATCTTCATCTTTCACCTCACTACCTTTCTACTTGACGCACTGAAAAGAGATGTGGCAACTCAGACGGTTGCGCAGTAATGCTTAGTCTTGTGTTGGTTTGGATGGATAACACTTCGGCTAGCCTTGCTTATACTCATTGGCTACTGTCCTGAAATATTTCTGGTGCAAGCCTATCAGTTTGTTATCGTCCTCTTTTCCGGTTAAATTTAATCTTCTGAATAGCTGCAAGATTTGTAGGTCAATGTTCCATTCAGGAAGTGACTGAAAGGCGGACAACTGAAGAGGAACTGGAGGTCAACTGAACTGTTCCTCAAAGTGTTTCACCGGTGGTTCCAGTCGTCATCTCTGCGACTGAATTGCAAACCCCTGTTTCTGTGTTATAGTATCGCATCAACTTTTTCATCCCACTTTCCATGGTAAGTTTAAGCAATTCGTCAATATCAACGTGAAAAAAAGTCAAATTAGCGGCATTAAACAACTTAATCACTCATTACTATAGTCAGGCTAGCCTTGAGTTCAGTAAAATGTTCGATTGTAAGCTGTTCCTGCATGTTTCCTGAGACATTCTATTCACTAGCGGTGAAGAGAAACGGTGGCGAATCTGAGTTTGTCGAATAGTGATAATAGAATACACAGCAAATCTTGATGAGCAACTGGTTTGTTACTGCCACCGACAATTTACAGATATCATCGTTAACGTTCCACTATAAACCCAATGTGCGCTCGATCAGTAACGTGTCGATTAACAAGTCTCTAACTGTAGATTTCCGTTGTACTTCAAAAATTTAACACTGATAAATATCTGACCAGTTATACCAGTCAACTGTAGCTAAGGCATTAAGAATACCAAACAAAAAGCTTTCTGCTGAACCAAGCTGATCAAAGGACGCCAAACAATCGTCCACGTAAAAAGTTGTTGACAACAACCACTAGATCACAAGAATGTGGCATAGATATAGCTATGTGTAATGCAATGAAATGACAGTCTGGTCGACTGAGCAAAACACCATTCAGAGAGATCCTCTAATGTTTCGTTGAGCAATCGCAAACCAACATTCCCGGTTTACGTGAAGTTAGAGCCAGGTGATGCGGTCCTGATCGATAGCTGCTACTGTGACGTGGTAGTTCGGTTTACATATCACAAAGATCCAGTAGGCTTCGCTGGTGAAACGCTTGTTCCCCCGAGGTCTTAACATACCAGAAAGACCGGTTAGTGATTAGACAAAAAGCAGTTACCATTATAAATAGGGAGTCTGAGGGCGTAATACTGCTGGCTGGACAAGAGTGGAACAGCAGTAAGGTGTTTCACTCGAATGACCAACAGAACCACGCTGATGTCACCTCTATGGGAAGGAGTAGAAAAGGTCAGTCCTAAAGTTAGAGCACTCATATTGCCCCATCGCATGCCGATGCCAGCGTCATGGGTCCATAGTCCGTTTCAAAAGCAACAAACCAAAATCTCAAACTTGCAAAAAGGTCGCATATGACCTGCTTTAAACAGATGTCTCTTAGGCTCTGGGGTCACACATTAACTCTTTCTTTCCAGGTATTTCCGGAAGAACTAGCCCTTCCGAGATGTGGGCAGCCGAAGAATGTCAACTACCCTCACAACTCTTTCAGCGCTGAAGTCCTCTGAGATCGCCGTCTACCTACCACATCTTTATAATCTTCCTTCACGTCTCTGGACCAATAATCCTACGTCATCTTCAATCTATCCCAACTCTGCAGGTTTTGAGAACAACCTGAGTTCACACAACAGCACCCTTGGTTTCCTGAAACCGCGGCCTACATTAACTGTCCGCACCATCCGTCAAATCGATCAAGCTTCACTAACCAAAAGTCTAGCAACCCGGGTTATGATGTTTGTGTACTGTCTTTTTGAGACACGCATACAGGACCACAAAATTCACCCTTCGAGTTTCTGAAGACTCGTTGGTCAATACTCGCGGTCTTGCAGGTGTGGTTACAGCAATGAGCAGTAAGGCAGAAGGTCCACTACTCAACTGGATCCCAGTCGACAGTTACCAATTCACAGTTCGTCCAAGCAGTACAGTGAGGACTAAAAAGAGTAGTCAAACTCGCTGTTGTCTACACTTAATCGTTGATTACGCACCCACTGAGATGAAGTGAAGGATTAGTTTGCTGAAAACTGCCTAGTCTACTTCTGAAAGTCAAACATTCAGATGTGGTTTTTGTTGCAGGTAATTTCAATGCACAACTGGGTAGGTTAAATCAAACAGAAAGGCACTTTGGTGGCACTTTCAGAATCCCAGCCGAACGGACAGATAGCGGCGATCGCCTACTACAACCGTGCTCAGATAACCACTTATTTTTAGTCAGCACAAATTTCTGACATCAAGAGAGACATCGTCTGATGTGGTGTCCACCGAGCTCAACTCAGTGGTGGATACACGTGGATCAATTTAGTATCCGCTGGAAGTTCGGTAGAAGACTGCCTCTCCTTCTGGGGCACCTATTTGGACAGTGAAAACGCGTTGGTCCAAGTGCGTACACGTCTGTGCCTCAATGGACGTAGAAAAACGATGGGAACAGGATCATTGCGTTTGCACCACGATATAAGGGCACTAAGGCCGCTCTCTCAGGGACAAACGAACAGAATACTATCACTTATCCAGAAAAAGCTTCGTGCCATCTCCAGTCTGCTGTAAAAACAGCGTTGAAGACCGTAGCTAACTCTCAGATAAACGTTGAAAAGGACTAATGGATCTCAGCAGCTTCTTGTGAATTGATGGATGTACACGAACGCATTCTTGCAGGCCTCGAGTGCAATAAGGAGCGAATGCGACCCAAACATAGAGTGGCGAAAGATCTACGCAGACTGCGAAAAGCGGTGGGTAGGATAAGCTAAAGAGGTGGAAAAGGTAGAGGTAATGGGTTACAGTAGACAGTTATTTAGACTTCCTAAGGAAAATGGGGTGAAAAAGTCAGTGATTAGTAAGACTGTAGTGGAGAAGGATGGGTTTGTGATTTACCGGCAAGGGAGATGACTGAAACAATGAATGGAACACCTGGGGAAATAGTTCAACTGGCCTCCAAGCTACAATCCAGTTGGGTCCTAATAAAACATAGAGATGGGACTCCTGGCGCTCAGTCGAAAAAGTCTTAGTAGCCTGGAACGAGGAAGGATACCAGGCTCAGACTGGCTAGTACCACAGGTGTCCTACGATGGTGGCTAAGAATCACTGGTCAAGTTGTGTTATCTAGCTTATAGGAATCAGGTATGATCCTCCCTGAATTATCTCAATTACTTATTATCCTAAGATGGGAGAGGGGTGGAAATCCCCGTGATAAGCACTAGAGAATTGTCCTGATAAAAGTCTAAAGCTCTAAAATTACCAGATGTTTAAGCGAGTCACTCAGACTTGCTCATGAGTGTATTGAACAGACATTTGCCTTCCTCCAGGTTCTGAAACACACTGACATTAACTGTATTCCTTTCCCGGAAGGCAGTTTAGAATTGATCTTATTAGAGCAGAGGCACCCACTAATCATATCGATCATCATGTCGAAATTTATTATTCTCATCCCTTCTTATCGTTTTACGATCTCTTACTACATCTAATTGCTTCCTTTCTTATTTTTACACTTTTTTGGTTAAAGGTTTCTTCGTCCTTGATGCACTCCTGTGAAGTATGGTAATTTGAACTGCTATCCAGATAGATAAAATCAAAGTAGATCCCTGAGCAGAAGTGCATTAACTCAGGTTGCTTCACCATAAGATCATGCAAAGAACAAGTACTAGTATTCAAATGGCTTTCACAGATCGTACATTGGAAGTATGAATAAAATATTACTAGACAACTGCATTTGAGTGTTGGTAACAGATGGGAGGAATAAAAATTACTGCTTTGACAAGCATATTAATAAGAAAACTTCACCCTTAAAAGAATCAGCAGATTGGTTTTTGCAATCTGTCTAAGCAGCTAGGTAACATGAACAGACTATTCTAGCTAACCAAATTTCGAAGTAACTTGGCAAAAACTAAAAATAACAGCTTTATGGGGTGTGTCGGAGCAAAATACTAACTAACAGTTTCTAAGCGTACTTACTTTATCACTTCACAATGCCTTGCGTTACAAAGTAGACTCAATGCTCATGTCAGGCTGGAAAATAAACGTCCACATCCTTTCCGAATTAAAAATCTCTGATCACGATTTCCTGACAGCACACTGTTCTTAGACCAGTCAAGTGCAGTATGTGTACACTCAAGGTTAATACTTAATTCCGAAGACAATCAGGACTCCATAACAGCAAGAACATCACATAAATGTTCGGAAAATTTACTCACGGGAAATCCTAGATGATGAGCAAAACGTGCACCAGAGTACATATTAAAGGGAGACTATGGTCAAAAGGAACCATACTGTAAGGTAATTTGGAGAAGAACAAGCCAAATTTAGGCTGAGAAACTTCAAACTGTCAAAAGTATTGCACTTGTCTCTAGTTATTTCTGAGACGATAACCCAAAGACTACATTTCATGTAAATAGCTATTTCGCAATAAAATAAGAAATACATATAAAATAGGTTAACTGTCGACTAGTCTTCACATACTATTACCTCAAATGATAAAGAACAACACCCAACCACCCAACAATATATCAAAGTCCGTCACCTCTAAAAAGCTGCCATTTAGTGTATCGAGGCAGCTAAACAAACTTTTCAGAAAAATACAAGTCATGAGAATATATGAAGTTAGATCCAATTTATACTCTCACCATCATATCTTAAAAGTCACATTTCGGTTCGTGAATTTTGTCTGAGTTTAGTGAGTTACATCACTAGCATTAGTCCACTTGAATATGATTACGATCTTGAAGCACTAAGCGCTTAATTTGATTCGTTCTCTATTTAACTCCTGAATACATATTAAAGAAGTCAACCAATACTCAAATGCTATTGTTTATTACAAATAGCCATCCAACGTACTCGCTAGACTAATGTTGAAGCACATCAACTAGCTCGTATTGAAACCTGGATACAGGTTTCCTTTCTTAATTTCTCCCGTTCCCACTGAATCTTTGCAGGTGCTATAGCAATAGATGTAAACTTACAAATTTGCTTGTGGTTTTCGCCCTTGTCCCACTTGCATATGTAAGCTTACTGCATACTTTATAATTACAACATACATTTAATCTTAATGGTTGTGCTTGACGTTGAATTTGTAACTGAGTACTTGTTTGTTTGTCCAGCCACTGAATTATCTGTCCCTGGAACTCTACTAATTCCGCCTTTAAAGTTTGCTTTACTACCAATAAACTGCCCAAAATGTTTACGCACGCCCTTTAGATGGAGCTCTACTGAATGCAGATAAATCACACCACCAGGTACAGTAGAGAACACTAAGACGTAGTTGGATATATGAGTAACTCACTAGAGCCAGATTTGGATTTGCCAAGTCAGCGTCGCCCTCCTAAGATTTATGCCTTCTGAAGTATTTCAACACGCGTAACCTGTGGATACTAATGCAGTCATATTGAGCTAATTATTCATAAGTCATTTAGTCATATAGTTTTTTGCTTTGGGGTCTGTGTTTTTGGAACATGACCTCTCAGCTGGTGAAGTATCTCCGCAAAATGCCGAATTTCCAGATGGATGTGACATTTAACTCGGTGAGACGGTGGTGCAAGCGCGGGAAACCTTTATAAGCCCTAAGTCGACGGCTGTGTATGATGTGGTGAAACAGGAAGCGAGGGAAATCACTTCATAATTAGACCACAAGGTCGTCAATCAGCTTCTTACTGCTGTGTCTAGGCGACAGGATAGCTACACAACCTAGAGGACACATGAGAAGTCTACTGTAGGATGGGAGACCGTCTGATCGGCTATGGTTTTTTCCACCACTCCACAGTGCCCAAAGAGTCCTACCATTTGGAGACAACTTTGTGGACTTTGATAACTTAGACGACATTGGTCGTAAAATGCAGGAAATTTAATTCTAATGGTTCATATATTGCCAGTTAAAAATGGGATGCTTGTCCTGGAGCTTTAGAGAGCAAAATTGGTGACATGTTATAAAGGCTATCCTGAAGTAGGTCTCACAGCAGCCCACAGAATGTACGTTAACACACTTCAAAGCGTAGTGTGTGGTTTGACCACCTTAGTTTTGGCAACTGTTCACTACTTTGTTGCCAAACGTGTGGTTATACTTGCACGCTTTTTAATCACCAGTCAGCAACCAATGTGGCTATCTGGCCACTAGTTCTGGGCAATAATTGAAGTCTATCGATCAACTTTTGCAATCTTACCAATGCCCGAAGTGATGCAATACTATGCTGCTCTGTAACTTGGTAAAGTATTTTGAAAGTCAGCTGGCTGGAAGGCTTGGAACCAGGTTTTGTGCATGCTGGCGTTTATCAGCAGGACTTATTTGCAACCATACCCGCCAGAATACTTTCGTTGACTGTTTTCTCTATGGCTGTCGACACAACGAATGTGACGTCTACTGCCAACATAGATCCCCTGTATCAGCTATAAAAGAGCAATAACAAATGGCAAAGCAGGGGGGTGGGGATCCATTTTGTTACGTCGGTGCTTACAACCTATAATATTTACGGTGATAAATTCAGACACAATATAAGCATGCTTCAGTTCGGTGGGGCCAGCCAGAAAAGATACAGCGAAGTGAGAGAACTCCTTGAAATGAGAAGTCGAAGTGTAATGTATCTGTATCACAAAAGGTCTATCTTATTCGGAGGGAAATCGCAGTGAAATTATGCGCAGGTAGAAGAAAGAATGCTATAGCGTGAAGAATAGAATATGGCGTTAGTCTAAGGGCAGATAAGATGGTAACAACCAGAAAACAAAATATTACGAAACATAATTAGCAGAACTCATTGGGTTGAAGTTGAAGCTTAGTGTAACCAGAAATTCCAGCAACTGGGTCCTAATGCAATGAAATAAATGCAGGGTTAGGAAATAAGCTAATGAGAAAAGTTGAAGATCAACAATAGATTCCGTTTTAAACACGTAAATTTGGCATTAGGCATTTGAAATAATTGGTTTCCTTGGCGAATTCGCACAGTGTAACGAGGGATGGAGTTTGTCTGCTAAATGTGACGCAGTTGCTCAACGCACTCCGTGCGTTGTGATCACACGTTGAGTTGTCAAGGTGCTTTTATGTAAAAGTGGGAAGGAGGTGCGATGAGGCGAATGAATAAAGACAATACGAAATTTTTAAAAATAGGAAGTGATCAGGAAGAGTAATACACTTTCACACTTCTGTTGGCGTCAGGATGAGATCCAGATTATCAGGGATGGTTTAAGGCGGGATATATCATCTTATCACATCATCTTATGGCCAAGGCTTCATTAAAGGCACAGTTTACACACCTACGGCAGTATGTTATTTTGTCAGTCACACATTTTAGCCATGAAAATATCTGCTAGTACGTGGCCTATTGAACTACCCATTGCCATTCCGTCGGCTTTGTGATACAGGACATTATCAGACCGGAACTAGAAATCTTCCGAACAGTATCAGAAGGAGCTTCTCCAATTTAAATGTCTGCAAGTAATTTTGCAGTGAGTAGTGACTCAGGGGGGTCATTTAAGTTGCCTAAAACCATACTTTCTCATCCGGATGCAATGGGAGTGCTCAAGAAGTGCATCCAGAACTCCCTTCTCATCTTGTCTTTGTGGTCACTTTGAAAAGGCTTGCACATATCAACACCCGTCTTTTCGCCTGGTGCGTTGGAATTACGCCAAGACCTAATTATAATGACTGCAGGGGGTTTACATATAGGTTTGGTCGTTATGGGTAGACTTGCCATTTATGGGGGCAGTAAAATGGGTACAAATTTCGGATTAACTGAATGGACTTAGCATGACATGATTCAACGCAGTACGGTGACACTATATTACACTCTACATCTTAACCTTGCTCATCCGTGGTCAAAGAGTTTCGGGATGATCCCAGCTGATAATACGTAGTGGAGTGATTTGATCTGTCACCAATTTCATTGAAGGAGAAAGGAACGATATCCATAGTTTAGGCATTTATTGCTCTCATCTTGATGGGTACACGTGATTTGACTCCATGCAAATGGATTCACCAGTTACTGTGGTCATTCAAGGTTTTACAGGCAAAGTGTGTAGGGCTAATGACACTGGTAATGATGTCCATCAAATGTGTTACGTTTTACCAGGCTTTCAATCTGTTTTAGTGGCAGCAGTTTGGACCTTATACCCATCGTTCGTGGTAATTCTTTTGTTACTGCTAAAGGGCTTGCCAATATGATTTCACGCCGCATTTATTATCGCGGACTGTATTCTCTTACAGAACATATTGGGTATGGCTGACGTGGCTTTGTCTTATGGGGTGTTTATTAGCAAACTGATACCATCCATAGGTTTACAGTTTTTTGCACATTGTTCCTTGATAATGTTGTGTCACAAAGTTGCTATGTTGATGCTTTTCGTCGATCTATTTTCGGCTTTTTTGGAACCTATTGCAATCCATGCTCACATCGGAACCCTCTAGTATAGTAAAATTTCTTGGTTCTGTCATTAATTGTAGAAGGTTTATTATCAGGCTCAAACTCTGATCTATCGCCCGAGGTTAAAAGTCCCGTCAGCGATTCCGGTCCGTTACTTAAGTTACTCGGTCTAATGGCTGACGTCGACAGCGATGTTAATAAAGTTAAGTCTGATATTCTGGGAGTCTTGAAGGCAGTCGTGAACATGCAGCGTAAGGTGGAATACCTCCTCCGACTCATGGATTTGTTAGACCCCAACTATTACTTCCCACTTGGTGGTTTAGTAAAGTGCGAGAGATTAGTCGACTTCGTGGCCAGTGGGGTAAGCGACCAAATGGGATCCTCCTACAGTTCAGTGGTCTTCAACATCCCTGACAACTCCCTAACAGAGCGGGTTAAGACCGGTTGTTTACGAGCATGCGGCTTGGCTGACTCAGCTTTTAGTGTCCGTCGCCTAGGGAAAAGAACAATCGGATTCCCACGTCCTGTTATATTTTAGTTTAACTGGCTGTGCAACGCAAAACACTTCTCTGACTCTCAGAGAATTGCAGTATCCACAATACCATATAGCAAAGTGAAGATTTCTCCCGACCTAACTTCTTGTCAGCGTCGCACACCGAAATTTCGTGGCGGACTGACTTCACAAGCTTCACTGAAACCTCAAGATACCACAAGCAGGCGGCAGTTGAGTTGTGGGGGTGAAAGGCTGAATAGAACTCCACTGACCTTTACCCCTTCCCCAGTTACCACTGAAAAACTCGCAAATACAACAACGAGCATAAGAAATGCCGACTCCATACCGCCAACATGCACAGATGTAATATCCACAGGTCTAAATGACAACAAAAATCTTAGTGATTAACTACAAGGGTCCCGATGCAGTCAACCTGTTCATATCGCGCAGGTAGACCAGTCTGTGCGACCCACCTCTTCGGCTCCGCCACTGAATGCAGTATCCCTAGGCGACGCGTCGTGGAGATCTGGACATTTTAATAACAAGCAGCTCTATCCAAAGAAATTAAGAAGCCCTGGTCGCCTGGAGCCATCTAGCCCCATGAATCTGTCTCAAGTTGATTAGTTCCCATAAAAACATGAGTGTAAAAACACTCCTCGCCCAGGACAAGGAACCAAGACAATCTTGGCTAGCCATAATATGGTTCTT